TATCTATCTATCTATCTATCTATCTATCTATCTATCTATCTATCTATCTATTTGTTTTGAGACAGGGTTTCTCTGTGTACCCCTGTCTCTACTAGAACTCACTCTGTAGACCAGGCTGACTTCAAACTCAGGGATTCACCTGCCTCTGCCTCTGCCTCTGGAGTGCTGGGATTAAAGGTGTCTGCCACCCACACCCACTTCCCTTCCTTTTTGAAACAGTCTTGCTCTGTATCCCACAGGGGCCCCAAACTCCATCCATTCGCCTCAACCTCTCAAATTCTGAGATTATAGGCATTGTAAAAACTACCAGTTTTGACTTACTTTATTCAGTTGTATATCTAAAATTTTGAGTGTGGGGCTGCAACAAACAGAAGATGTTGGAATTAGTTTTTTTCTATGCTTGTTCTAGCTCTCACACAACGAGACAGAGACCCGTTACATTTACAATAAGTTCAAGCACCATAACTGGGCGGGTATGGATCTGTTCTAAGTTGACTGTGCTAGCCTGGCCTGCTTCCCAGCCATGTGCCCCATGACCTGTCCTCTAGTGTTGCCCTGGCTGCCTCTGCTTCATCCTTGTCCCCATGGTGACTCCGCCATGGTGGCCTCCACCTATGGCATAGCTACCTTCTTTCTCCCTCCCTGCCCGACACCCCTAGACTGGGAATGCAAGTCCTGCCTACTGTCTCCTCTGCCCCTTCATAGGCTCTTGAGCTTCTTTATTCCCAATCAGAGATAATTGGGGATTAATTTCTTTTTACACATTGAGATAGGAGATTCCTCAATAGCAACGACAATACCAGAATCTGTTAACATTTCTTCACTGTGGGTTCATCAATTAACAATCAAATATACAGAGACACACCTAATGTAATGTGAATGAAGGTCACCACTACAAGAAGATAATAAGGAAATTCCCACAGGCCTAGTAGTAATACATTTAGAAGAAAGTCGTTAACTGGTTTCTTTCTGTCTCACTGCCTGCTCCCATAGGCTTAAGGTCTTTTCACCACCGTTAAAAAATGAAACACCTCAGGTTTCTGCAGTCTGCTTTGCTGTGGACTTTACCTGGTCTTTGAAGAAGTATCACTTGGTAATACAGGCTCAAAGAGGCTCAGTGTGCATGTCATAGGCTCTAAGCATTCCACCTGTCTCTGTTTTAGAAATGAGCTGTGCACTGTGTTTAAGGTTCAGCTCCAGGGTAGTACTTGACTACACGCCTCTAGGCTCAATCTTTGGCTTGGGAGTCCGTGAAGAGGGGGAGCCTTGAGATTCTCAGTGCTAAATTCTCTTAAGACCACTAAAGACAAGAAACTTCCTGGGTGACTTAGTAGGAAATTTGGTGTTTAAACATAGAGATAAGCATCCTTGTCACTAGAGACAAGAAACTTCCTGGGTGACTTAGTAGGGAATTTGGTGTTTAAACATAGAGATAAGCATCCTTGTCCCTCAGCAGACAGTGATCAAAAGGAGATTTTTAACTTTTTTACATTTATATTTTTGAGAAATGGTTTCTTTGAATCACAGCCCTGTCTGCCCTGGAACTTGTGTTGTAGAGCAGGCTGGCTTCAGACTTGGAGATCTGCCTGCCTCTGCTTCTGGGATTACAGGCGTGTGCCGCCACAACTGGCTGAGAGTTTTTTAAAAAAGAAAAGAGTAAATCAAACAAAGGTCCCACTAGTGCTCACCATGTACCAGGCTCCCTCTAACCCTTTAAAGGCTTCAACTCATTTAATGAAGTCAGCACATACATGTGTTTTGTGTTTGTTGTTGGAGCTGTGCTTCATTCCAGGAGAGTCAGTCTCTTTAGAATCAGAAGCTGTGTGTAACGTGTGCATGTACATGTTTGTGTAAGTGTACAGCTTCACGTACGTGTGTGTGTGTGAAGGTGGAGGGCAGGGACTGGCCTTGGTTGTCTTCCTCTGCTGCACCTTGGTGTTTGAGAAGGGGTATAGGGAAGTCTCTGAATCCACAGCTCACCAACTGCCTAAAGCTGGCTGGCCAGCGAGCTCCTGGGATCCACTTGTGTCTAACCTGCCCAGTGATGGGATTAAAGCAAACAATAAGGGCTCACATAACTGTTGCTAGAGTTCTTAAGGTCAGAGTCTTGGGCCCCGGCAGTCTTAAAAAATTAGGACCACTCTCCTGCTCTCAACAGGACAATTAAACAGATAACAGTTACGCACAAAGGTTTAGTCAATGTGGCCACATTGGGAAAAGAAACAAAGAGATCAGTGATGCCACCCCACCCCAAATTTACCTTCAGAGTCTTACGTGAGGTTTAGATTTAAATGCAGGGCAAGGTATATGCCTAATTTAGCAGTGCTGGTCAGAGTGTGGTCCCTTCCACCAGCGACCTAGTTCCTCTTCTGGTTAGCACCAGATTCCTGCCTTTTCCTCCCCCAGCATGAGATTATGGAGGAATTCCAGTTTTTTTTTTTTTTGGAGACCGTTGTTTTTAATAATTTGATTGCTAAAGGAAGGAACACACGTCTCTTTGCAGGATGGTTTATACAGTCATGATTAACTGATCAGCTGAAAAGAAACACCTGCACACGATATGCTTGGAATAGGCGATGTAGGTTAGGAGCTCGAACAGTGTACCTAGCAGCAAGAACCATTCGAACAAAGGGTAACCTTGCGCCTAGGAGGTGCATCAGCTCAGCGGACAGCTTGCCGGTGGGCTAGGAATTAGGCTGTGGTGCTCGTGGGCCTGTTGGCTGTGCTCACCTTCAGTGAGAAGGTTGGTCAAGGCATAATGGGTGCACATAGGCCCACATCACATCTGGCTGTCTATAATTCCAGGACGGAATTACGCCTCCTTCGTCCTCCTCCAAAAGATGCCTGTCTCCCACCGACATCATCCTTGATGCAGGGCGCACCCAGCCCTGGGGACGCGGTCCTGCCTAGTGCCGGGTCCACCAGGGACGGTGACCAGAGAGGGCGGGGCGGGGTGGGACGCTGGCGCGGAGTACCAGGACCAATCAGGACGCGGCGCTTCAGGGGCTAAGGTTCTCGGTTCCCCCTTCTCCGGGCGCAGCGCCGCCTGGCGAGTTGTGCACCGGCGGGCGGAGCCTGCAGCATTCTCGGGGGCACACAGGGCTGTCGGGATTGTCCTCGTGGGTGTCCACGGTCCGCGATCGCCGCGTGTCTGTCACCTCTTTCCATCGCCCTCCGGGCCCCGGCCGCGCGCATCCGCCGGGTAGTCCGGGGTCTGTGCGGGGGCGGCGCCGCCACTCCCTCGGGCTCCGCGGCGGGAATGCGGCTGCCGTGGCCGGCTGGGCAGCGGGCGGCGGCAGCAAGCGGAGCCCGGGCGCACTCGCCGCTGGCCGGGACGCCGCCCTGGCCTGCGCTCGGCTCCCGAGGCCGCCGCTGCGCTCCGGGGCCCGGCGCGGAATGAGGTGCAGGCCGCGAGCCGGCGAGCGCCCCGCTCCGCGGCCCCCAGGCTCCCCGCGGCCGCCCGCGCCTCCCGTGCCCCGGCGCCCACGCTAGAGCCCCGCGCTGGCAGCGCTCGCCGCGGCCGAGGCCCGCAGAGCGCACGCGACCCGGCCCGGGTACCGATCGTGGGGATTCGCCTCCTGGACGCCGCCCGGGGGTGCGGGGACCCCGGCACGCTGCAGCCCGCGGGCCGCGCTCCGCACCGCAGCGCTCTTCCCAGCCTGGCCCGTGGCTTTGGCCTCTACGGTGCCCGGTCCCCCCGGCATTCCTCCACCCTTCCCTCTGCTCCACCGCCTCCCATTCATTGCATCCGTTTCCCCTTTCCGGCTCAGTTCCCCTCCCCGCAGCCTTCACGGACGAACCCCGCTATCCTCTTGGGGTTCTCTGTACATTCATGGAAGTTTAGGGCCTGGACCGTGTCCCGGAGTCCGGCCCGCGCTGCTCGCAGGGCAGAGGAAGATGTCTGCGCTCAAGCGGATGATGCGGGTCTCCAATCGCTCCCTGATTGCCTTCATCTTCTTGTTCTCCCTCTTCACGTCCTGTCTCTACTTCATCTATGTGGCTCCAGGCATCGGTAAGCACCCGGACACACCCTTACCTCCTCCTATGGTAGCAGAGGGGTAACAGGGGTGTGGAGGGCTTTGGAAGCTGGACCAAAGCATCTGATTTGATTTCGTTTTTTCAAAACTGTCGAAGAGACTGCGTGACCATGTTCGGTTTGGTTAAAAACCGCTTAGGAGAACTTAAAAGGTCGAATTCTGGGATGTAGGGAGATGAGGGTGGGGTGAGGTGGGATGGGGTGGGCCGCCTCTTGTCGCTTTCTTGAGGATTGGCGACAACTTTATCCATCGGATAAGTTCAGTGTTTAATTGTAGTTTTATCCAGACATCTTTTTTTTTTTTTTATGTAAAATCACAGGTTGTGAAAATCTGATGGGGAAGCAGTAGTAATTGTGGTGCCTGCGTGCTGGTGTGGGTCGTGCAGTATGTGAGTGTTTTTTGGGAGCTGGGTTGTTGAAACACAGCTCTATTAATCAGCTCGGGTCTCCCAGTCAGAGCCAGCCTGTGCGTGACCTGTTGGGATGCCGGCTTAGACAAAACATCGATTAAAACAATTACGCAAGGCAGTCTGTGGGCTTCAGTTGTTAACTTTCTGTTATTTACTTTTTGACTTTTGGTCCCAAATACACTTCTGCGTGATCTTGACTTCTTTATTGAAATATCCCGATGCCTCATTTCTTCTGCTCTTGACAAGGGTTTCCAAGTGGCCTTATTTTAGGGAATGAAAAATTCTATGGATCTTTATGGCTGTTAAAACATCCTATTCTCTAAACTTGGCCGAGTTTTCTTGTTCCGTGTTTAATTCTGAGCGACTAGGTAACAGCGTGTATTCTGTCATTTCTTATTACAGATTCAGTTGTCTTGTTTTGAGTCAGTGTTTCTTCCCTGGGTTATCCAAAAATGTTGTGCCTTTCAGAGAGGAAAAACACCTGCAGAATTTTGAGGTGAAATTCTTAACTCTGCAGAGGTGTGTGTGTGTGTGTGTGTGTGTGTGTGTGTGTGTGTGTGTGGTAATGAATTACGGGAGAGAGAGTGTAGCCTCTTCCAGAATGATTTCTCATGAAAAAGTAATTATTATGTGATCTTTTCTTTATTGGATTTAATTAAGTATACTATCAGATAATGATGACATATCAAGGAAACACCTTGATATATCACCCCCAGCCACAAGTTTATGGGTAAAATTTGAAGGAGTGTTGCTATTTGGTATTTGGTCTTTCAGTGTGTTTTTTTTCTTTAGGAAAACAAGAACAACCCACAAAACAAACAAACAAACAAACAAACAAGCAAACAAACAAAAACAAATTATCTTATGACAGCAGTTCACATTTTAGCCTGAAACATGAATTGGGCAAAATTTTTATATAGCTGGGATATAGACTGTGTAATTTTTTTTTTATTGGTTCAAAGTTAGATGTTTTAAATTATTTTTATTAGGAAATCTTTATTAATTCTGCCACACCATCTAGATTGTTGAGGTCAGAAGTATTTTAATATCTTTTGTATCATTTAATAGATTGGGTATTATTTAGGACAATTAGGAAAAGGTTTAAAAAAAATCTTCCTTGTCATTTTAGACATCATATGCAAATAATTTAATTCTATAGAAACTTCTTGCTTTTTCATTTATTTCCTCAAAATTTGGACCTCTATGGAGAGTATTATTTTTACCAGATATTTAACTGTGAGAGATTCTGCACAGGAGTATTTTAAAATATCTTTATTGTGTGTGCGTGCCCACAGGTGTGAGCGTGCACATATGGTGGTGTGTGTGTGTGAAGGTCAGGGTATGGCGGTGGTCTCCTTCCACCCTGTGGGTTCTGGAGATCAAATGCACGTTGTCAGGTGTGGCAACATGCAGCCTTACGTGTTCAGCTGTCCTGCTGGTCCCTGACAAGATTTCTCTTTTTTTTAGACTGGATCGCTTTATGTAGCCCTAGATGGCTGGAACTCTTTACACTGGCAGGAATTCGGAGATTAAAGGCAGGCAGCACCACACCCAGCAAGAAAGTTTTTGAATTCACAATTTCCACATTTCCTTTGAAAGCTCTCTTTTTGCTGTTGTTTCTTTTGGATGGCGCTTAGGGCCTTGCACGTGCAAAGAAAGAGCTGCATAACTGGGCTAAATCCTGGGTCCTCTTTCTTCCCATATTGGGAAGCATGCTAAAGAGTCAAGCAAAGGAAGTCCAAATCCCAGCTTTCACTAACGCTCATATGTTATCTGTAGATTGTTAAAATTCAGTTGACATGGAAGCCTGGTCCGTCCATGTTTCTTATTTAAGTGTGTGACGTTGCCATAGAACAGCCAGTGGATAATGTCATAACTGGACAATTGTCTTGCAAGCAAGTAGGTCAACATAATTTAGATTACTCTATTTTGAGAATCCTATAATTAAAAATGTTAACAATGAAGCCAGGAAGAAAAGTAAGTTAACCAAACATAAAATGCTACGAATTTGATAGACCAATGTCTGCCCCCCCCCCTATTTCCTTGTGCTATTGGGGGGAGCTGGTTTTTTTTTTTTTTTTCTTTCTCATCTTTAAGTTGGGAAGAAGTTTTCTAAAATTCTAAAATTCACAGTTTTGCTAGGAAATTCAAATTTTGTGTTTGGTGACAAAAGCTGTGTGTGTGTGTGTGTGTGTATGTGTGTGTGTGTGTGTGTGTGTGTGTGTGTGGTCACTTTTCTCAAATGCAGGTCAGATGCATAGGTCTAACCACAGTGTGTCAGCTGTTTTCTGAAGTGAAAATGATGTGGAAAATGTGGTCAGTTGAGTTGCCTGTACAGCAGCCAGTTGAGTAAGTGCTTTTCCTCGAGGCCCCTCGTGCCTTGGGGTGGCATTGTGTTCTCTCCCAGGCCATCGCTTACTGCTCAGTAGTTTTCGTTGGATGAACTGGTACTTGTTGCAATGCTCATATTCTTACACAAGGTACATCCTGGAGTAAAATTTCCTCTTCACCGGACTATGCGCCATAGAAGTTCTTTTTATTTTCTTTTTTAAATAAAAATTTCCTTTTTATTTTATGTGTATGAGTATTTGTCTGCAGGTATGTCTGTTTGCTGTTTGCATGCAGAAGCCAAAAGAGATTGTTGGATGACATGAAGCTGAAGTTACTGATGGGTATTAGCTGTCGTATGGGTGCTGGGAATTGAACCCTGGCCTTCTGGAAGAGCAACTAAACACTCCTAAACACTGAGCAATCTCTCCAGCAACACTACCCTCCAAGGATTTCTCTGGGTAGCCTTGGTTATCCTGGAACTGGCTCTAGACCAGGCTAAAACTCAGAGATCCATCTACCTGCTTCTGCCTCCCGAGGGCTGGGATCAAAGGTATGCGCCACCACCTCCTGGTCTGAGCTCATCTTTTCATTGGTTTCAGATATGTTCCATTAAGTCCTTATGAGATAATTCTTGTCAACTTGTTTGCCAGGTGTCACTGTATTTCTCTACCTTTTGGGTCCAGACGTGGTTGGTCAGGTGCATTCCTTCAGACAGGTGTTCCATTATTTAGTTTTCTCTTCCTTGGGCCTTTTAACCTGAGCCCATCTCCTCCTGCCTCTCTTCCTTCCGAGGTGACAGGCCACACCCTGTAGACAGCTAATTGGGTTAGTTTTGTTCTCTTGAGGCTGCTCTGTGTTCTCTGGGCTGTTGGGGACCTACTCTATAGTGTGTTCAATACAACTCAAAGCTCATTATTTTAAGAATAAGTTGAAACATTTTCCTTGATACTTCTTTTGGGAAATGCAAGATAGTGTCAAGTGAGGAACTTCAGCGCTGAGGGGAACTGGGCTGTAGATAAGTCTCTTGGAGCTGTCCCACAGGAAGCCTGTGAGTACTCTGCCTTAGCCTTCCAACAGAGGCAGGAGTCTGACATTTTGTTTTGTGCCTGCCTTAATGCATGGCTGCCAAGACATGAGTGTAATTTCCTCCCAAGGCCTTGAGCTGGCTGTATTGAGAATAAACTTGCTTTTATTAAGGAGCCATTTCCACTATAACTTCCCATGCGACACAATCATGTTCTGTGGTATCAGAGGAGCAATTGATTTGACTACAGCACCCAAGAGAAGCTGGACAATGAGGTCTGGAAGACTTGAAAGTCGATGACAACACAGTTGACAACACAGTCCTCTGTGGCAGTTGGCCCCATGAAGGGCCTTCATTGTACATGACAGAAAGCATATAGAGAGAGGGAGGGCTGGTTTATAGAGTGCTAGGATGGGTGGAATTAGGATTTCATAGGTATTCCCTGCTGACAAAATGAGCCGATCCAAACCAAATCAAGGTTTATTGGGGGCAGCTCTCAGGAGGGTTCACAGATCTCACAGGAGGAGGTCACAGAACTCTCCATGCAGACAGGGAGACAGAAGTAGGGGGCTAGAGAGAGGGAGAGGAGAGAGGGAGAGGAGAGAGGAAGGGGAGAGAGGCGGTAGGGAGGGATGGAGGAGCAGGAGAGGGAGAGAGAGAGAGAGAGAGAAAGAGAGAGAGAGAGAGAACACCAAAATGTCTGGATTATATAGTGAAGAGCCTCTGGGGGAAGAAGAAGCCAGCCTCTGGGTTGGAAAGTTCAGGTAGGGACTGAGGGATGCTGGAAGAATCTGGAGACCAGGTCTGATTTGGTATGATAAATAAGCACCTGCTTGTCCTGGGTCTGAATCCCAACCCCAATCTATATGGAGCACAGAAAGAGCTTCTGGAAAATGTCAGTATCCTGGTTCTGTATAAGCTATTCCTTGGGGTGTGGAGAGGCAGGTTGCAAAAGGCCTCCAGAGCTCTGTGTGCAGCCCAGTGGAGTGCTTGAGGTCATTAACGGTCACAGCCGAAGGAGCTGGTCTGGCCCACACAGCTTTATCTAAACGATGATAAGGAAGAAATAGACGTGCCTGCCACTGTAGGACTTCCTTGGGAGTGGGGAGTTTACTGTCCTTTTGACACACCAAAGTCCCTGACCTTTTCCTGGAGAGGCTTTCTTTGGTCTTCGGGGATGGAATCCGGTTGGGCCACTTTGTCTGAAATCT